AAAACTATTTGCCAACTGAGGATTTTGCTGTTATTACTATTTTCCAACAAAGTAGTATCTTTTCATAAGTTGTTAGTTACTGGAAAAACTAGTTTTTGTCTTTATATCCCAAAGCTCATAGTGCTTTGCTGAGTAGGCAATCAATAAGGAATATAAGGAATGAATAAGGAATATATATTGAATGAATGAATCCATAAATTAGTGAATCATTGATTAAAAGAGTACTTTTTAGCCAGTAATTCCAGTTTTCAAGAGAACCAAGGAATTATTATAAATGGTTTATAAGTCTATATGGTATTGCAAATTTTTTAAAAAGTTACACTTGTATGTATTAATACCTTTCAAATATAGGTATAAGCTGTTGACAATAAAATACAAGTCATAAAACATTTACTTTCCAGTTTAATAAATATGGAAGAATGCATACATTGTGTATCAGAGAACACATATGCAGGATGCTTTCCTTTTGTCCTCTAGAGCCACCTGTCACCGTCACTACCCTGCTTGGTGCCCAGGTTGCACACCTTATGGTCCACATCTCTGTGCTCCTTTGCCTCTGGCATCAAGTAAAAAGCTACCAAAAAAAGAAAAAACGCAAGTTGAGTGTTATTTCCCTGCCTTCTCTGCTATTTTGCTGCAAACTGGCTCCTTTTACCAAAGGCAGTAGTTTCTGACTGCAGCCCTCTGCAAGCTACTCCTTCGGAATTCCAGTAACTCCACCTCTACTTGGTCCTTCAGACCTGAGCGTTAATGATACCTCCTCTGGTCCTCCTGCATTATTCCTATGGGTCCTTTACTCACCTGCACCTTGATAGACAATTCCTTGACTGAATTATCATCATTCACCTGAGCTGAGTGCCCCCAGCTCTTCTTGACAAGACCCAAATTAATAGTTATCTCCACTGAGATATCCTGAAGACAAGAACATTAGTAAGCCTGCAGTAAACTGTACAAACATGGACCCCGTGAGGGATAAATACTGGCAATAAATAGCCTAATGTCAATGCAGGTGTTCTGTTGCCAAGTTCAGGTCTGAACAAGATTTACAATCACATAAGTTATAAAAAAATCTTTCAAATTTGAGAACTTTTTGGATTTTGGAATATGGGTTTGGGAGCCTGGTAATCTGTTAACATTTTTGGCTTGCTGGAAATCACTGGGTTAGGGGCTAATATCACAAGGTTCAGCAAAAGAAAAACCAGCAAAAAAATGGGGATCCTGGAATAGATTCTCCATCATGGAACTGGATCAGTAAACTGTCCCTATGAATGGCCAACAGAGAGTATAAATGGACATAGAGAGTGGATATGGAAATAGCACAGAAATAGCAACTATGACTTATTTGGAATAGGGGCAATGGTAGAGGGGCTACTCCTACACTTTACAGCTCTGAATGTCACCACAGAGCGCAGCACTGAGAATGAGAGAAGTAGGTATTCGCACCAACTATGCCACCAATCACATGGGGCCCAGGCAAATCACTGAACTACAGACCTCTTACTTCTAAAGGAAATAAGACAGCCTGTATTTACTGAGTACTTACCATGTACCTGGTTCTGTTTCAGGCATCAGAATCTCATGCCTACAGCAACTGAGATTAGCATTCTGTTAACATCTTCATTTTACAGTTGAAGAAAATGACTGCTGTAACTTGCAAAGGTCATCCAGGCTAGAAGGGGCAAAGTGAGGACTCAAAACCAGGGAGTTTATCTCTCTGCACCCAGGTTCTTTCATCTTCTGTTCTCGTTTATAAAAAGGTTGTTGAAATTCAAACATTATAGAACATAAAGAAATGGCTATGACTTGATTATGTATTTTTTTTTTAAAGATTTATTTATTTGTGCATACAGAACTGGGGTACAGGCCAGAGGCTCAGGGGTGGCGAGAGCAGAACAGTCAGATAGACAAGTACACTGCTGAAGGGAGTAGCGGGCGGGTCAGGAGAGGTCTGCCGCGCCATGTGGTCACCTCCAGGGCAGGCGGGAATCGAAGTCATGCGGAAGTGGCTTTAGCTTCTCAGTGCTGTGCTTTAATCCACTGTGCCACCAGGGAGGGCCTGATTATCTTTCTTAATTACATGTATTTTTAATGCACAACACCAAATAGTTCAAAATTGCTGTTTCTTTGTACACATATTCCTTAAGACTTAGACTATGTTGAAGATTAATCCAGGGTTTCATTTTGCCTTTTAAATTGG